GTCCTGAATCAGCAGTGCACTTTGAAGTTACGTCATATATGCCGAACATGGATGGCTACAGAAGCAGTCAAACTAGTCAGAAAAATTGCGACTTATCTGAGTTTTCACTTAGCAGTAAAATGTAGTCTGCACGCTCCATGTTGGACAGTTTGTCACCTGAGAGCTAATTTGTGCCACTATCCTCGCACGAGGACAGGACTGTTTGAAGAATCAAATCCATTACAAAGTCGAATACATGAAGAGAGAGAATTCATCTCTGACGAATACTGCTTTCCTTTATGAGATCAGGCAAAACAGTGCCACAAGCTCAGACTTTTTTGCAATCACTAAATTTAGGACCGCATTAACAAAGTCATGGAGATGAGGGCGAGAGTTGTTTGGATCACAGTGTACCTTGCTTAGGGATGGGAGAAACATAAACACTGTTCCAACAGCTATGAAACAAGCCATAGGTACAACGTATACTTTTAGAATGTCTTTGTTGATCAAAGAGTCGGTGGGCAGCTAAAGAGAATCGTTCATATGGGGTCAGTCCAAAGCCATGATCTGTTGCGTCATCAGCTGATTTGCTATTCGGTTGAAATTAGGTGTTCCTCCGAAAGCCTTAGTATGGTCGGGGTGGGTGTTTCTGGTTGCGGCTGGTCATACATCCCTTGCAACTCGTGCAATGCGCCCATACGACTAAGTGTCTCAAATAAACTGTTGAGGAAGCCCTACTCACCGTCTTCTCGTGGCGGAGTTGTTTTCCCACCAAAGGGAGAGGACGAAGAGCCAATATTCGGGGCTACAACTGGGTCGGTGAACTACTGGCAGTTCACCTAGGGGAGTTCGCTACAAACTCTGATTCCAAAATCAGCCAAGAAGAGGCACCTTGGACGTTTGACCCCGTCCAAAAGGGTGTATGGTGCGATGAAATCGGCCTCCAATCGATCGCGGTTTTCACACACCGCCCGCTGCCTTGCGGGTCAGGCTTTGGCTAGCCGAAGGCTCCGGTTGTGAACTCCTTTAGAAAATTCATCTGCTTTGACCCAGGCAACCTAGCAGTATCGTGCCCTCGAACAAATCATGAACCTTGTTTCCTTTCTTTTATGCTGTGATTAATTTGACACAGTCTGAACTCAGGCGTGTGTGAAAATGTATGTACATCATCAGGCATTATTTTAAAATACACCTCCATTCTATGAACGATCGGCAAAGCTGCAGCGTTGTTTCAGATGAGTCGGAGATCGATTGTACGGTTCATTTTCTTGTAAAACCTTGTTAGATGAACGGAACGTAAGGTTAAACAGCCATATTTAGTGATGAGTTGTGTCATGGTACTCTCTACTGATCTACGTTGCGTTTTAGTGCAGAGAACCCCTTCTAAGTGGGAGCTTTCACATCCTTGACGGACACCACTGATTGTTTTCGACCTGATGATACATAAAACAATGCCCTTTTCTCCTAAATCCCAATAAACATAGAATCGCAGATAATGTCCTTCTGGGCGATACTGTTTTCTTTTCTCAGTTTTCGTTTTGTTGCCAGACGCCATTCAATCACAAATCAGTGTATCTTGTACCAATTGCACTTGGCGCGTCCATTACCCGTCATACTGTTGAAAATTTCAGTGTTTTTGATCAATGAAAGTTGTAGGTATGGAAGAATTATGTTGAAATTGCAGCCCTAGCAATACATGCACATGGTTTTCTATTCCTGTAATTGTCGATATGTTACTACCAAATGTTAAAAATCTCCTTTCCAGTTCTATTCATTTGGAGCGTTTTGTGCAAGGCGGTTTAGACCGGTCTCCCGTCGTCTTGTAGTTCATGAGTTAAAACCTTATCGCTGTCGC